AATAAATGATCACCTTCTTTATTTCTGACCCATTTATCATGCAAAAAGGAAGCAAGGAGGACTTGGGCTGGGCACTGTTGAAGGCCACAGGCCTCTGATTTCCCACACTGGCCAGACTTGCCACATTGTTCTGGGCCAACTGGAGTTAAACCTAACGTAGCTTGGCAAAGGCAGTCGGACATAATTTCAGAAGCAAATTCCTAGTGGCCTCTTTCCACATTACCCTATCCTGAGCCTCTTCCTCATCATCCTACTGAGACATGCTGGTCTATTTATAAGAAAATTCAGGGTCTGTTCACTAGTGGCAGAGGGCTCTGTGGGTCAGTGATGGGTAACTGTCCGGTTTACCCGAAATGGGGGCAGGGACAAGAGCGGAGTTTGGGCGGGGAAAGTCGTGTCCTGCTACCCCAGTCCTGACTGGCACCCTGAGAGGTGTTGCTGATATTGCAGGATGAAGGAAGGGAGCAGACAGCAGCTGGGAGCTCTGTTTGAAAGGTAAGAAGCCGAAGCTAGGAAGGCCTGTGGTTGTTCCATAACCATGCTGCAAATTAGCGGTGGAACCAAGGCTGAAACTGCATCTCCTGACACCCTTAGGGGTGAATCACTTTGGGGTAGATTTCTCTGGCAGGTCTCCCATTAAGATTGCTGCTGGTTTTACAGCTGGGGTCTTTGGTCAGAAGTGACTGGTTTACATAAATATGGCAGCCATGTGAGTACCCAACATTAACATTGGGTTGTTTTCACCTGCAGAGGTTGCTGCAGATTTCAGTCTAAGGGCAGTGAGTGTCCAGACTTCTATGTAGATACTACTGTTCAGCCAGGAGACAGAGCACAGGAGGGCTGGGCTTTGGAGTGTGCACTCTGACCTTCATCACTTCACATCCAGCCTCTAGGCTAGGTTCCCCCCATCAGGAAATCATTGGGGAAAAGGGAACTTAAGTCTCCTCTGAGTGTGGGGTTAAGATCCTAAGGAAGGTGAATCTGTGTGCCGAGGACACTCATTTCTCCACCATCCTCTGGATCCAGCCTTGTTTGTGCTAGGATGGCCCTGACAGCTTATCTTGGCTCAAGGTGGAGTATCACCAAATCCTTTGGTTTAAAACATCTTTTCAAGTATTCAAATGATTGGCAAGTCCTCTCAGGGCCCAATTCTTCCCTCCACATCCTGCGTAGGTTATACACAATAAAGTCCCCAGACAATCAAAGCTGCAGGAGAAAGCCCAAGAGTTTGCAATGAATGTCCTGGGAGGAGCCCTGGAGAGTTGCTCCTGCAGCTGGAAACCCCACCAGCCCCTTGAGCCTGTATTTCCAAGGCCAGGAAGGCACGAGCTTCTCACTGCTGGGCTGCTCTTTCTGAAACAGCTTTCTGCTGAACGGCAGGGACATGCAGGAGCCAGAGTAGGAGCTGGGCGTCCTGTGCTGGCTCTGCTGGCACTCTCTTAGCTTAGCCTTTCAGTGTTTCCGGGTCCCAACTTGAAAGCATTTGCACAAGAACGTGCTGCTGCTCTCCTGCCTATGTGTCCATACTGGGCTGGGTACTCCCTGGAAGCAATGCCTGTGCTGTCTTTGTCTATTCCCAGCACCTGTAATACAGGAGGTGCTCAATCCATGGTTTGTAAATAAATGTATGCCCTGGAAAGCAGCTAGCACGTACTAAGTGTCTACTATAATTGGGCAAATTGCGAGACATTTTCTTTGTGCCATTTCACAACTCACCGTATTAAGTAGGGTATTATCATATTCATTTAATTAATGGGAACTTTGTGGGTTCTAATTTCTAGTTAAGATGTCCTATCCTATGCCTGCTGGATTCTGCAGCTAGTGGGGCTGGGCTACTGGACATCCCATTTCTCTACTTCCTTGCTTTTGTGGCCATTCTGGCTGACCAGGTGAGCAGGTGAACATGCTGGGCACACTCTTTGTCATCTGTGCCCTAGGAGATCCTGGCCAAAGCTAGGCCATTTTGGCAGACATGTGCTCACTCTGTGATTCATTAGACTTGCTGTTTTCTAGGAGGTGGAAGGCAGCAGATGCTGGGATTCCCCAACTGCCTTCCTTGGCGTCAGCTCCTCCAAGCAGGCTGCTGCTCCCCATGATATTGCCTGTTCACAATTCTTGGCTTCCAGGGAATTGGTGGCTTCTCTGACTTGTCATTCCTCAGCCCGCACCTCTGTGTCAGACTCTCCCAAGATGACTTTGCTATGACAACTCTTCCCTTATTACTATAAACACTGAAAGTCATTTTCCAAACAGCAGTCCCCAAGCCACCATGTTCTGTTCAGAGAAGAAGCCAGCCTCATTTGTAATCATCACTATCACTATCAGGATTTCACTGTGTCCTCCTTGCCACACTGAGGACTGTGCTGTTGGTGTCATCTCTGACATTAAAAGGAGTGGGCTTCCAAGGAGGCAAACTGCCCACGATCTCAAAACTAAAGGGTTCTTGGGACTGACACTGACCCATAGTCAGAGGACAGACAAGTCTCAAGCTTGTGTTTCAAAATTTTTAGCAGAACAGAGCCAACTAAGGTATTAATGGTGTCTTACGTTTGCATCCTGCTCAGTGTGTGCAAAACCCTTTACGCCCTTTATTGCATTGACATAGAGCACCATGTGAGTAGAACCGGCATCACATTCCCCATTTTATGGATGGGGAAACTGAGGTTTGGGAGGGGATGGGATTTTCCTGAAGTCATAGAGCTCTTTCTTGGAACATCCTTTGGTGGACCACCAAAGGCTGGCCTTTGCATCTTGCATGCCTCTATAATCCAGTTAAAGAAAAAATAGCCAATAAATGATTGTTCATTGACTGATGACTGAATAGTGAACTATGACTTATATTCAGGGCTTTGATTCACAGCATAATTTTTTTTTCCTGCTGCACCACTGTGAACTAATTGAGCTTTTCGACCTGTGGGCAAAAAGGTTCAGACCCCCTCCATCTTGTCTAGTCAGTGACCTTGGGCAAGTTATTTGATCTCACTGAATTTCCTCATTTATAAAATGGAAAATAATACTAGCTTCTGCTTCATTGGGTTATTTAGTATTAAATTTAAAAAATACATGTAAAGTGCATAGCAGTAACTGGCTAGCCCATCTCAGAAGTGCTTAATAAGTATTAGTAATAGGTATAGTTATTATTATTCAAGGGTAGGGACTGGGTGTTACATATCTTTATAACACAGGACTTAGTACAGCAGTTGGTAAGACACTTGGTTGTAGGGCTCAAGACCCTTGCTGCCAACACACATTCATCATGTGACATAGAGCAAGCCCCTTCATCCTCTTGGGTCTCAGTTCCAGTTCCAACACCTGTGAACTGATGAGGATGAACCAGGTAAATCCCATGGCTCCTCCCAGCTATAAAATGCTCTGGTTATTTCAATGGTCCTCAATGGGGATGTTTTCACCCCCCAGGAGATACCTGGCCATGTCTAGAGACATATTTTTGGTCACAACCAAGGCAGGTGCTACTTGCATCCAGTGAGTAGAGGCTTGGGAAGCTGGGGACTACGCACAAAACAATGTTGATGAAAAGAATTATCTGGCTCTAGCTGTCAATAATGCCAAGATTGAGCAAGCCAGATCCAGCTCTACACAAATACCCAGAGCTCTCTGAATTGTTGGACAGGTGCCTGTGTCCTGCAGTTTGCCAAGAAGCCCATGGAAGCAGCATTCCTCCACACAGCAGAGAAGTCTATGGATCTCCCCTTCAAAAAATTACTCGGAGGTCTATACAGCTTTACTGAGAAAGCAGTGGGCAGAACCCACCCTCCCTCCAGTCCAGCACCCTATGGAGGTGGAGGATGAGTAACATCATTGTCCAGATGAGAACCCTCTGCAAGGTATTTTCTTAGAGAGAAGCTAAGTCCAAAGTCTAAGCTTAGCTAGAAATTTGAGCTCTTTCTCCTATAAACATGCCATAAAGAAGAATCTCTTGCCCTTATCCTATATAATAAAGGCTAATATGCAAATCGACAAAACAGTGGAATGACAAGTCACTATGACACACTCTGACCACCAGGGGGAAGACACTCAATGCAGGAGCTGTCCCTTAGTGGTCAGTGAGCTCCCACAGGGGGAGCACTGCTCAGCCAGAACCCAGGCTCATGGGTGGTGAGCATAGCAGCGGTGGCAGGAGCCTCTTCTGCCTTCGTGGTAGTCAGACATCCCCTGAGGGCTCCTGGACTGTGAGAGGGTACAGACTGGGCTAAGGGATCCCAGTCCTGAGTGCACGAATTTTGTGCACTGGACCTGTAGTTAATTATAAAGTAATCAGACCTGGAGCCATTCACAACTGGGGTCTTGCAGTGGTATTTACACTTATAAAATGAGGGGGAAAAGGCAGCCACAGAGATGCCCTGGTTCACATTGGTTTTTCAATGTCACCACTTCTAGAGGCACATTGGATCAGGAAGTAGGCAGGTATATTCTAGAGGAGTTCACTGACATGAGTATTGGGTGTCACCTCAGTAGTGAGTAAGCTTTAGAGGTTCTAGAACAAAGGTTGACAGTCTCTACTGATTTGAGACTGACACCGTGTGATCTCCCTGACCACTTCTGCTCTAGGTCCCATGCTCCTCCTAGGGTGGATACAATAGTTTTCTCTTTCCCTTTCCGCTAAAGTTCTGCTGTTAAAACCTACTTTCCAGCACATTAAATTACTTTCATTTCGGCTGTTTATCACTCCCCTTGGCTGTTTTCTCCTTGGCTCTGTCTGGATTTTGGAAAATGAATATCTTTAACATCCACTCATTAAATGCCAACTCTGCCAGCTGCTCCTCTGGCCTCTGGAAGGCCACCAGCCTGGGCAGCCAGAGGGCCCCACAGACCAGGATGTGAGATACTATCCAGGGAATAGTAACAGTTATGGCTCAATCTGGTCCCTACCCATTAAAGAGCAATTGTGAGTTTTAAGTAGATGTCACAGGATCTGAACTTTTTCGGTCAAAAGCCAAATTGTCTTCAATAGAATAGATCTGGAATGAGCAAGGACTTACCCATGCTTCCCCGGAGTAGGTACCAGGAGGATCTCTCTTCCAGCCTCGTTGTGGGGCAGCAGCTGGGCGACGTACCTCCCGGAAGGCTGCAGGTGCCTGTGAACGGAGACGGCCAGTCTGCAATGCTCACTGCTGCTCCTCATCCATGGGCTCAAGATGGTATGCTTGGAGTTTGCTGAGGTGTTGAGGAGGAGGAAGGAGCCTGCCAAGAGACCAGGAAAGTGACTCTGCAGATGTGTCCAGACAGGCGGACCAGCAGCACCTCTGCAGCAGGTATTAGAGGCCAATGGCATCAAAGTCTGTGATGATGGAGGCTTTCATCACTCTCTTTGCACACACCAGCCCTCTTCCCCTTCTCTTACCTTTGTAAAACCTAAAACCTGACGTAAGAGAATGGCGACTAAGGACTGAGGCTTTATAATCAGGTACACCAAGGTTCTCACCTTAGCATCCCTACTTAGTAGCTCTACGTCCTTGAGTCTTATCACCTCTAAAATGGGAATGGAAACCTCTATTTCAAAGGGTGGTTGTAAGGATTATGTGAGATAATCCTTAAAAGCATTTCACCCATTTTTAGGCAGGGAGGAAGCACCTATTAAATAATCAATTATGAGATTTTACTGTCTTCTAAATTAAGGTAGAGATGACCACTCACAGATTCTTTGCCAGCCAATAGGTACAATTAACAAAACCCCCCATAGGCAACAGGGAGAAGAATAGTGTGTATTACCTAATCCTTAGAAACCCAACCCAAGTGCTAAGACATTCTTATAGATTTACATACTGGTCTAGGGAGACAGTCTAACCGAGTTACTCCCTCCATAAATGTGCCAAGTGGAGCCAGGAAATGAGGGCCATCTTGTGACTATCAATGTAGGTACCTCCACACTCCAGAAACCAGGATGCTGGCATCTAGGCCAGCCTTTAGCTCACAATTTAAATCAGAGCTAAGTTCTCCATATAACATTCAAGCCAGCTTGAGTTTCAATTTGTTGGACAATTCAGTTTCCCAGTAATGTATGCATTAGCTCTCGGTTCTCAAATAGTTATGACCAGTTCAAGGTTTTCCTTGAGAGGTGTGTGCTTGGAAAGGAAGTACTTGGGTCAGGTAGAAGGAAGTAGTTAAGATCCTGGCTCCTGCTCCTTTGCTTACTTGCTGAATGAATTTGGGCAAAGCACTGCCTTTCTCAGGTTTCAGTTTTCTGCTTATAAAATAGGGTGAGAAGGGTTGGCTGAACTTATAAATCTCTGAAGACTCATTTCTGCTCTCGAGTCTATGAGTCAAGTGAATTTGCAACTGGTCTCCAGAAAGAAATCCCTACAAATCCCCCACTCCCTCACCACGACTCCCACCTCCACCGGTGCTATGCCTGTGGCTGAGTTTCCCTCGGGGGATGCCAGCCCTAATTCCAGTAGCAGCGGCCAGTGACTGACAAGAAACTTATATTCCTGGTGGTTACTGTCAGAGTGGTGCGGCAGCATAAAAGCACAGCATCATTTTACTGTTCCATGCATTTCTTTTGGTGCGCTAGTTCACTTGCCACACTTCTGCATTGCAGTTTTTGGACCATTAGATGCTGCTCCTTGGCAGCGGAAGCCAATTCCAACAAGATCTCCAACACTTCCAGTGGAAACCAGCTAAGGAGTGTTCAGATCAGCCTTTTCACCCCCCACCCCTTTCTGGGCACCTCAAATTAGTTGCCTTCTCCAGATAACAGTATTTACCACATAGGCAAATGAACTAGCACCCCCTCAATAGAGAACGATGCAGATAAAAAGGGGGGATTCCTATGAGATGCAAAGCAGTGTCCAACGAGAAAGCATTGTGTCAGGATTAGAGATTTGCAGTATTCTGGAGGTAGGAAAATGTGACTTTTGGTTAAAATCAGGAGAGGTCAACGCAAGCCTGTTTCTGAGCTGGATGGAGGACATTAGCATATACTGGAAACTGAGTCCTCTGTAATGTTAGGAAGCATGGCATATGGGCCTTTGAAACTGCTCTACCACCCTTGGTAAATAATCTATATCATTACTCGGTTTTACAATGGGAGAGACATTCTTATAATGGGCATAGAAGTAAAATAAAGGATTAGAACCAAAGATTCAGAATGAAAAAAGGAGTTAACGATCATGTAATATAGTGCCCTTGCTTTTCTATGGAAGCAGACTGGAGATGAGAATGGAAAAATGACTTACTCAAAGTCTTAAATAGGAAGTCCAGACCAGATTTCAGGTCTCTGAACTCTTAACCACTATTCTTTCTCTTCTTCCTTTTTCATTATACCACTGTATCCTTTATCCCAAAAAATGACCAGGGTGCCTCGTGGCCAAGCTCAGGAACTCAGAGGGATGGGAAAGGAGAAAGACAGGCAGATGCGACCTGAACCAAATCCGTTGGTTCACTGGCTTCCTTACCCACTCCCTCTGTCCTCAAAGTTCATTTAATGGATGCCTACTCAAGCACTGGCTCAGCCCTGGGGACACTGACAGGAACCAGACACAGTTCCGGCCTTCAAGGAACATCAGGTCCAGGAGAGGGTGATGAGGTGTTAGCAGTAACTGCAATAAAAAGCAGAGGCTCTACGTCACAAGACACAAACAGGTAAAGCGTGCCCATGGGAGGTTTCATGAAGGATACCTTAGATTTAATTTGGAAGATTCATAAAGAAGATGACCTTTGAGCTAGTCTTCAAGGATAAGAAAAACAAAAGTATTGGCAGAGTCCACCGTGCAGGATCTGAGAGGCATAAATGCAGAAAGTGTATCATGGCCTTGGCTACAGAGCAGAGTACACGAAGAGAAGGCTGGGAAATAAGAAAGGCTAGGGTGATGGGTGTGGGACCATAGAGATTTATTCCTGGCAGAAGATGTGAATCTTTATTTTGTGAAGAATAAGGAGCCAGAGAAGGTTTTTGAGCAGGACAGTGACATCATCAGAGTGGTGTGGCAGGAGACAGGGGGTAAATACTGACTCAATTGCATCCTTCTCCGCCAGTCCTCACTAGGCATAGCTAAATTTAAACATGATGGCCTTGCATGTTACCATATTAAACAAAGGTACTGTGTTGGGGAGACTCAGGGGTTGACTGGGGCTTCCAATTCTGTACTAGATTAGAGTATATCTGTCTAGAACAGGTGGGAGTTCTAGAAACACCTCTGGGGAAGACTCTTGTTCCTGACATTTTGGGGTCATGGTCTGAGCTTAGGAAAAAGCCACACATGTCACACATAAGGTGCTCTGGTCTGATATTGTACTCTGATGTATCCAAATAGGTGGAAAGTCAAACTGAAACCAGTTTGGGAGTTTCTGAAAGAAAGTAGGTAAATAAAGGAGGTGTTCCCTTCTCAGAAAAAAGTTTGCATGCATGTGTGCATGTACACACAGACACACACACACACACACACACACACACACACACACACACACACGGAAACTCAAGTTCCCAGCAGGAGAAAATGAGGTTGAAAATGCCGGGACTTGGGGGTCTTTCAGCACCACTGTTCCTCCTTCATAGGTGTGAAAACATGTAAATTCTGTCCTTGTAATTCAGTACCTCAGTAATGGGACTCTTTCAGAGATGACTGGAAGATGGATCATTCCTCTACTTCTAGTATGTGAGATGATGTTTATATGAATTTTATTTTGTGCAACTGTACTATCAATAAGAGACAGAACTTAAAGTATTTTCACTTTCAATGAAACTCTGTAGTTAAGAGCTATCTCTTCATTGGCAGCTTTCCTCTACCAAAAAAACAAAAAAACAAAAACAAAAACAAACCACCAAAAAAACACAAACATTTCATAAGCTCCTTGGAATATTGTCAGCATAAATCTATTAAAGTCGGTGAGGATTTATCTCTCTTCTTCCTCTTTTCTGTTTCCTGTTTATTTTGCTCAGGATAGCTTGGGGCTACATGAAGGCTCCTGGGGTCCCCTCTAATTAAGAGGGATGGCCTGGCAGCTCACAGACCTTCTTCCCCCATGTGGGCCATGAGGCAATGCAGAAGCAGATCAAAGGCTTGGTTTATACAGTGCTGGAAGTGGACCCTAGTTTCCTTCTTAGTGGATTGGAACACTTAAATATGAAATAGTTGTTGTTTTTAACCTTTGGTCACCAATACAGGGATGTGGGCTTAAATTTTGAACCAAAACCAAGGGCCAGGAATCTCAGGGTCAGACAGACTCCTATCTAGGCTCTGCTTCTATCTAGTTCTAGACTTTAGACAAATTATTTCAATTCTTTAAACCTTATTTTCTCAAATTCAATATGGGTGTAGCCTACTTCCTATGCCTGTGGTGGACGTGAAATGAAATAATATACATAAGTGGCCAGTACAGCTCCTGGTCCTTAGTAGGACTGTGATACATGGTGATTCCTGCTTCAAGGAGTCTGGAGCTCCATCACTAGCCTTGGAATCAGAAGGACTGGATTTGAGCCACTTACCAAAGATTCCTTCGTTTGTAAACTGAAAGAACTGGATAGTCTCTCTAAGAATCCTATAGAAACTGTCAGTAATTCTATCTGCCTGCCCGGAATATTATTAATCTAATGGAACCCTGTCAAGTCTCCAAGCCCCCGAGCTCCAAAGACCTCTTCTCTTAATTCACCTCTCTGGGGTTTTTAAACCAGGCGTTTCAATCAACTGGTCAAATACTCTGTGAACTGATTCCCTGCTCCACTTCCTCACTTCCCATTTACACACATGCATCCTCAGGAAGGGCTCCTGTCCTAGCATCATTTGTTTCTGTAGATGCTTCTGCTATAAAGTTATTACCACTTCTACATGTCTGATATAGCACAATGCTTGCCACATGGCAGGTATGCAATGACTTTAAAAATATATATATATTATCGATTTCAGAGAGGAAGGGAGAGGGAGAGAGAGACGGAAACATCAATAATGAGAGAGAATCATTGATTGGCTGCCTCCCACATGCCCCACATTGGGGATTGAGTCTGAAACCCAGGCAAGTGCTCTGACTGGGAATCAAATTGTGATCTCCTGATTCATAGGTCAATGCTCAACCACTAAGCCATACTGGCCTGGATGCAATGACTTTTTAAAATCAAAGTAATATATACACATGGCAAGAAATATAAAATTATTCAGAATAGCTCATAAGAATTTTTTTTTAAAAAAACCATCCCCAAATCATTCTCCTCTCACCAAGTCCCAAAAACATTTTTAAAGGGTTT